CATACCAGTGACTCACAGAATCTGTTTCAGATAGGTGATTCATAAGTATCATCTTGATTACAGTGGCCTTCAGCTAAATTACATGATACATGAACCATTGCAAACTTCTGTCACAACAGCTCTTTATCCAATTGTACATCTACAACTGGCAAGCTCGCTCTTCTTCCACACCTACACCAAGGGGCTACAAAAAGAACTGCTTCAACATTTTAACTTCAATTTCCATGTTCTGGCTCCCTCCTCCTTTCTCCTTAGCAGAACATTCAGGAGCCAGTTAAGTACATGAGAGCATCAGCTACACTGCAGCTCAGTGAAACTAGCTCTGGGTTTCTACTAAGCTTCCTTTCCATGAAAACTACATCTAGACATAATAGAAACTTTCCCTCCAAAACCTTGATGGCATTTTTCTTTCCCAAGAGTCTTCCCTTCAGAACTTTCCTTTTACTCTTCTCAACATTAGCCAAACAGAGGAAGCTGGAATTGACATAGAGTCTATGGTACTCTCCTTTCATGTACATCTCTTATCATTATGTTTTCTCATTAGTTGATGAAACAGACAACAAGTCACCTCTGTATTTCCTTTTCTCCTTCTAATCTATGTTTGTCCCATCTAATCAGCATTTTATGCTAGCAACTGACTTTTATTACATGCTTAACATAGTGCCCAGCAGTGACATGCCTGGATTTATACTGTATTCCTATATCCAAATAACAATTATTAGTCCTTTTTTTTCCCACATACATTTTTCTTGGTATACATGCATTTTTCTTGGTATACATTTCACCTCCAGATTCGCCTATTGCAATAGCTTTTTTATAGTCTTCCAGTTACTCTATAAACTAAGGTTTGGTTAAGGGTTCTGCACACAAATTACTCTATCCTTCCATCATCATTAAAGCCTTTATTCCTATAAAATGGGGATATTTGCCTTAGGAAAAACTGTTTTCAGGAGACTACTTTGTCAACTAAAATACAGTGGCTACAAAAAGCTAACATTTCCCAGCACAGACCTCCAGGCAAGTCTTGACTTTGGAATCACGCTCTCTTCCTTCATTTCAAAGCCAGGTTAACATCTTCAGTCCAAACTCAGCCCTTTCTCCATCCCTTGAGTACACCCTCTTCTCCTATTAGTCATTATTACTCTTACAGAAAGATAAAAAAAAAATACATTAAAATCTAAAAAGCAGACAATTGCTGCTCTAGGAAATCTATTCTCTTTTTCCTTCAAAGACCCTTCTGTCTTTCAGTCTTCACATATGGCTGAAAGACAATATTCATTTGCAATATGAAAGCACTGCCAGCAGAAAGGTGACCATACAAGACTTAATGCAATAGGACTAAAAGCTATTCTACTTTTGTGTTTTCTGTGTGGAAAAAGAAACAAGGTTTTGTTGAAACAGCAATCTGACAGAGAGAAACAGAAAGATAAAGAGATAATAGATAATCATATCTCCTCCCTAAAGGACCAAAAAGAAAACTGAGACATTAGAAGAGAAATCCTCACATGTAAAATAGCAGACACTGCTAAATCTACTTTATATCATGTATTAGCTAACCTTTACAAGTGGTCAGAAAAGTCAAACTCTTGTCTTTGTTCACAGTTTCATTATTATTACTCTCCTCCTGTATTACTCCCTCTTTGTTCTGTGACTGCAGGCTTAATAGCCTGGGGTCAGGCCCTAATTTATGAAACTGCACAACATTAACCCTATAACCTACATGCTTCTTTCTGCCTTCTCAGCACATTGTTACTTCTTGTGCATTGCAGTGAATATATAACATATTACAGTCCACAGCATTACTTGCATGCTCAGTCAATAACTATAATATAGAATATTTATAAAGAGCTTACAATCATCTGATTGAATGCACAGCATATGATTTATGACATTCAACTGTACTTTCTAAAAACAGCACTAGTTTTCCTCCAATTTGTTAAGTGAAACAGTATGACTAGCCTTTTCAGAGTTTCACAAGGAATGGAGAACAAGAACCTCCCCTTCCAGCATGGCCCATAAAAAAGGTTGTTATAATTGCAGTTTTTACATTCAGTTTTGTAAGGGGACTCAGTTTTGCTCAGGAGCTTCAGTAGTCCTGACACTTGAAATGACAGGAGCTCTATGTTCTGCAACAGCTCCACTGAAGGAAAACCTGCTGCTGCTACTTGTCTCTGCAGTACTCCCATCAACACAGCACAACTGTCCTGCAGAGCTGCTCAGCTCAGAGGTTAATAACATGGGTTAGGCCTGGGCCTGTCCAATCAGCCTAATTAACCAAGATTTCAGTGAGAACAAATGATGCTAAAGTTCCTACGATGATAAAAATCTGAAACAATTTTTTTTTGGTCTATTACTGGCTTCAGTACACTCTGTTCATTTATCAATTACTTTAGTCATGGAGGCTGCAAATTGGCAATGTCAAAGCTTCTGCTGACTGTTAATTCTCTTAGGTGATATATATTGCACAAATAAGAAAGCTACATTAAAATGCCAGCATTATATACAGCACAACATTTTCCACTCTCTCTGAGATGATTTATCATAGTCATTCTGCCTCCTGCACTGTAATTTATTGGGAAACTGTTCCATAATTGCTGGTATGACTTTGACAAGAATTATATGATGAGAAGATTTCAGTCATTAACCATCTAGAAATATCAAGTGTTATCCTCACATATGACAATGAAAGCTACATGGACACTTTACCTAGTCATATCACTTCCCATATCCATAAAGATTACCCCTTCAGGGAGGGTGCTTTTCTCCCAGCTCATATGAAGAGTTCAAGGAGACAGTAAGACAGAATTTTCAAGCCTTCTCACAGCAAAAACCAAGAGCCCCCAAAAGAAAATCCTCCACAACCTCAACTATCACTATGTTTTGGGGAAATCCTATAAAAAGCAAAACATATACAAACAGTGCCATAAGTGAGGAAAGAAATCAGACATATAAACATTACAGCAGATGGCCCAAAGAAGCCAAATTATTTGCTGCATCTAAGAATATGCACAAAGAAAACATTCATATGTTTACTTCCTTAGGTATAGTACCATTGCATCTCATGCTGTATTGCTCGCTGTAGTTTATTCTCCTGGGTATTTGTCTGCCTGTGACACCAAGGTAAAAAAATGAATGCCTTGCTGTAGCCTTTCCAGTCCACATCTACTTGCTAAGCATCATCAGACATTACTAGGTCCAAGGTAGCTCCAGATGCACCATCACATCATCAACCTCTTCAAGATTATTTTAAAATTATGCTTTATGTTTCAGTGACCAAATACAGACTTAAAGCTAAGCATCAATTTTATTACAATGATGGCTATACCTTACACTACCCCATTGCCATGGTAACAAATACAGTAGCCACTAGATTTATGGTAAAATGTATTCCCAAAAGGTAATTTTTTTCGTTCTCTCTTGCATGATCCTACCAAACTACATAATAACAAAGAATATTCAGAGGATATGCTCTTAGCTGAGCTCAGCAGCTCAGTCACAAGTCCTGCATTCATTTTCTTTGGGTTTAATAAAATACACTGACACTACTTCAAACAAAACTGGATTTCAAACAGAACTACTGAAAAATTAAGAGGAACTAGGTGCTAAGACTTAACTGAGTACAGCTATCCCAAGTTCTGTACAACAGAAAAGGGGAAGTATTTATTATCTCTGAGGAAACCATTTCTGCCTTCATTGAAAGGCAACAGAAATTATTTTAAAAATTCCAGGCACATTTCTTGCCTGTTACTGAACACACATCAAAATTCTTTTGATTGTTTAACATTTTTTACATACCTCATGGTGAGACTATTTACATTCAAAGCCATAAATGTTATAGTTTTCATCAAAATTTTTACAAGTCAAGTCAGGTAAGAAAAAAAACTATTAGCAACTGAGGAAAAAGCATCCCAGCTGGAATACAAGTTGCTGGAAAACATTCCTAAGCTATTGCCATTCAAGTAAATGTATACCGCATAAACACTAATTTAAGTTCTTTTCCTGCCTCTTCTTCTTGTCAAACTGAAAAGAAGTCAGTATGGCATGAATAATAATATTTTTACATTATCTAAAATTATAAAGTTGTAAGATTCTTACATATAACAATTCTCTTTGGACAGAATTCTTTTTTTTTTTTAATTGTTAAATTAGCTCAGAATCTGATTTAGTGTTGAAGGTTTCCATAGATCCAGTCTTCAAAGTATGTTTTTGGTCTAATTAGATTTTCAGTATAAAACATTGCATTTGTAACAACTTATCTGAAATCTGATAGTAGATCTGATGCTTCTGAAGGGCTCCCACTGATGCTGGAGCCAGACTATACAGCCAGCTCTCAAAAAACAAATAAACAAAAACACATGAATGTGTAGATTGTTTTGAGACAAAATAATAGAGCCCTTATCTGAGGGGGATCCTGGAGAAAAGGTGTGATACATCCACATAAACAAGAGCTTCTTGATAATGGAAGTCTAACATAATTAGACCGGCACTGCATGATGTGGGGGCAACTGGTGTAAACTTGTAGTAAACCAAGTATTCAAAATGTTACGTGCTTCCATAAAGGATTAACAATGAAACATTTAAATGGAATTGAATTTTGCTGTGGAAATACAATACTTCTCTGTAGTTAGATTAACAAAAAGAGATACTCATTTAGGAGGAAAAACAGTTTGAAGCAATTGTAGGCTCATGCTGCCAAAGAACCCACTTCCCAAAAAATGTTAGAGCTCATCTCCTACTTGTCCACATGATTATATCCTTCCTGCTACAGTACTACAATTAGTGGTCATGTTGCTTCTGAATCTTTCTTCCAAACCCTGTGGGAAGTGGGGGAAAAACAAACAAACAAACAAACAAACACAAAAGCAATGGTTCTTGGCTGTAGTGATAACATCCAGTGCTGTGAGGAAGAGAATTTGGAGCCAGCAACAACAAACTGCCACTCTACAGGAATAAATGAATCCTTTCACCAGATGTTACAAACATTTAGATCTTTTCCTTACCTGCCTCCTATCCCTCTGAGATGATGACGAAGAGGAGGCACTTCTATGTGATGGAGTGGATGTTTTGTGAGCAGGAGATATACTCTTCTCCTCCGAACTCATCTTTGCAGCAAACTTGTAGTAATGGTCTTGTGCTCTTATCATTCATGTACAAAAAAGCAAGGGATACTCTTCTGCATCCTTCTGATTCACAGTTTACGGAGAGACGAAAAAGAGTTCAAACTCAGCTGAACTGCACCTTAATAATAATAAAAAAAAAAAAATGTGAAAGAGTGAACGAAGACACCTTTGCTCCAAAATAGCTCTGCAGAAAAGAAATCTGTTGACAGTCATTATTTATTCCAACAGATCTTCTGATTTTTTACTTCCTTTCCTAACATTACTCAACACAAACACAAATGCATCGCTCTGCATTCTCACAGAAGACAAAAGTGATGTTGTGTTATTTAAAAAAAAAAAAAAAAAAAAAAAACATGGAAAGGCTTAGGAAATTCACAGCAATTCTCATGCAAAGTTTACAATCCATGACTGGGGATCAATATCTCAATCTTGCATGTTACCATAAAACTATCAACAAACTCCTTAGTAGCTGCACCAGAGGAGATGGATATTCATAAAGGAACTGCAGCCTGTGGGGAACCCACACCAGGGTGGGGAAAAGCATGAGGAGGAAGGAGTGGCAGGGAACTGTTCTGTACTGACCGTAACCCACCACCCACTGACACATCCTGTAAACGCATTGATTTAAATTGGTTTAATTTGGTCTTCGATTTCTCTCTACCCAGATCTATTTTATTTAGCAATAAATTAAATTGATTTTCTCCAAGTTGAGACTGCTCTGTCTGCAACAGTAATTGGTATGCAATCTCCCTGCCTTTATCTCACCCCAGGTACTTTCCCATCCTATCTTCTCCTCCCATGCCACCAAGAGGCTGGGTGGGCACCTGACTGCTGGCAAGGGCTAAGCTACCACAGCCACGTAGGCCATTCTCTCTCCTGCTTACTCAGCCCCTGCAGTGTGCCTTACCTCTTTACAACTTTTCTCTCACTGAATCCTCTTCACCCAAATCTTGAGTTTTGATCCAAGAACGGAAACTTAGATACATGTAGCAGCACAGAGGATATTTACGTTGAATATAAACACTACTACACATTTATCATCAGTACACTGCCACAGTTCAGGACAGTTCTCTGACCTTAACAGATAACTTCAGACTTGCTTCAGCTGATAGATTCTGTGTCTATTCTTCTACTAGCCTTGGATAAAACAGTTCTCTGAATGATGTCCTTTGCTTGAAACTATTATCCACCTCCTCCACCTCTCCCTAATTTTGAGCTGGCCTTCCCTTTGCTATGCATTCCTCCCTCCTGTCTGAGCTATCTTCTGCACTATGCTCAGCTACTCTGAAGCCTCGAAAGCCTAAACAAAACAAAACAAAAAACACCCCACCACAAGCAAAAAAACACCTCCAGAGCTATTGCAATTCTTCTTGTTTTGCCACTCCTGTTTAAAGACATTTGCATTTGGTTAAAGACAAGATATACATGATGGCATTACTGTGAATCTTGCATTTTTATAACACATTGTATACAGCAAGAAAAATACTTAACTTTTTTTAAACATCCAGCACCAAGTCAAATCAACTTTTCCTGAGAAAATACATCTCACTAAGAAGTACTGAACTTGTTCTTTCATCATAGGAATGAGCAGGAGAAAGCTGACATTTGTCTCTAAGGAATAAATGAACAGCATCTGGGAGGGCATTAACCAGCAGTGCTGTTTTTGAAAGAAAAAAGCCGCACAACACAGTTGTTTTAGAACTTCAGAGAGAAAACATAATGAAGTTGCATTCTGAGAGGCTTTTCCTTCCAGCCTAGCATACCAGGGACTGCTGATCTAGCTTAACAGCATTTTCATATCCTACAAATGCATCAGGCGAACTTCAGCCAAAGATGTGAACTGACAACAATGTCTCAAGACCTATGCAAATTTTCCTACAAATAATGACTCAAATTACAAAAATTAGAAATAGCAGAACACTGAAATAGTAATCTCAGTTCACAAAGATGTGCAAAACAGTTGAGTTATGAAATAGCTGCCAGGACAAATTTTCAGTAACTTCCAGCCATGAAATCACTGAAAAATTGTTAGCAGAGCAGCCTTTGGGCAAATGAAAATCAAGTGCTTTTTAAAACATCTGATCTTCACTCATTTGACTCATGTGGAAAAATTTATGTTTAGCATTGGCACAGGAGGACAGTGATCTGGCACTTCAAGTTTTTTAAGGCTTTCCGGAACCATAGGTGCTGTTGTAAGAATCAAACATAAAGCCAGCAAGAGGTTCCTCAGGAGGAACAGTTCACTGAGTCTGTTCTCACCGGGTTGGCAATTCTGTGAAGTATCTGCTTTTTCTTTTGAATAATATTAAAACCAAATAAAACAGTCACACCTGAGCCAAATTCCCCAGTGTTTCTGGGGTTTTTCCCAAGTCTGAAGCTTTCCAAAAACTTACTTAAAGCACACTAATTTGTCAATAGCAGGCTCTCAAAAAGGGCATATAAAACAAAATCTTACCCTTCACGCTACAAGAAGCAAACTGCTTCTTGCCCTATTTAACAGCAGCAAGAACTTCAGTACAAAATTTCAATTACTTATATGTAGAAATTTCTGATAGAAGAACAGTTCAGGGTTAAAACTTAAAAAACACAAGATATTTGAGAAAATGAGCACTGTAAACACAACAAAAATATTAACATAAACTAGCAAGAGCTAGCATTGAGCTTTTTGTTATTGCTCTTGCACATTAAGTTTGGATTCTGTTTCTCTACTTTGCTAAGAGCCTATCTTCCAATTCTGGCTTAAAATTTGGGTAATACATCTTTTTTAGAGCATGTTAGAAGGAATAAATGTAGTGAAACTGATGTTAAGAGGCGCCACTCTCTCTGTAACAAAGATTGAAGCAAACAATTATAAATCTAATTTTTTGGCCAACCAATTCAATTTACCAAAATGAAACCAATGCTTTTGAGGCATTTTTCATGCACTTTTTTTCCAACTGTCACTGGCAATTTTGCTATTGGCTTCAGTGGGAACAGAAGGAAGCCACACACTGTTTTAGAGTGTTTCTACACTACTTCTAGAAAATACAAGAAAATCTAAGAAGACAAACATTCAAAAACTGTGATGTTGGGATCGTGAGTGGGGAAATATTATTATTCTAGTAATTGTGACAAAGACCAAACTGTCTGATTCATTGTAGGAGGTCAGTTTTACCATCTCTATACCACAGGAAGTCATCTAAAACCTAGAATTATTTTCAGTGATTTCAGTTGGGCAATTCAAACAGAACAGCATTACCCTTCAGAAATCAGGGTGACAGAATTGGCCACTGGATACTAATTGCTTCTTATCCAATTATCATTGACCTGTAGGCTGCGGTTTGCACCACTACAGCTAAATCCCTCATGAACTGCTACAATCCACCATCAGTTTAGGACCATCACTTGATTCAGATGTGACTGGCTCACTTCAAAGCTACTTTGCCATGAGGTCCCAGGGTGGGAAATACATTAATTACTTACAAAGAGAAACAGACCTCCTGGAACATGTTAAACAGACACTGCACTGAGATTTTGGTCATCACAAGTGACAGTCACCTAGGTGGGAGTTCTGTCATCACCTTTTTATTTGGCATCTCAACTATTTTGAATGTAAATCATCATTTGTTATTTAGCAATGATTGAAAAAAAATACCCATTCTTCAGTATATTCTTTTCTCAATCATTTACTTATTTTCTAGGTAAAGCAATGGATATAGAAAGGTAAAATGCCCTGTCCAAAGGCCAAGAGAGCAGGCGAATCTTGTAACCAGAAAATGCAGTGAAGTGTTATAATTCCAATGCATAAATAAAAATAACATGTGCCATGACTGTAATATCCTCCACATAAGCCAAAACATCTGATGCTATTCATAAAGGAGTACACAATGACTGTATGGAAACAACAATAAGAAATTATTCACGGAATATACTTAAGATTATTGATTATACACTGAGTTATCAAGAAATTGTTTCTTCTTTCTTTTTATTCTGTTTAACCGCTGAACACTTAATACACTTAATTCTTACTGTTCACTCCTACTATGCTTGTTTTCAAGCTACCCTTTGAATTCAGCTTTTTTTTTTTCCAGTAATGTTTTTGTGTTTGATCTCAATTGTTACAGCTCTTCCAAGTCTGAAAAAAAAGGAGGTAGAAACATAGAGATTCCCTTATTCTACCTTTACTTCCAAAATATTTTAATACACAATAACTTTTTTCCATTTCCTTTTGGTTTATGGGGTTTTTGCCTTTTTTTTCTGGTGTCTTAAGTACTAAACAGGTCTTAAAAATAAAGCGATTATTCATTTTCTTTCCATCCACAAAGGGTTGTGGTTTCTTTTGCTCTCTTTCTAGCTAAATAAATAAAAGAAAACTGTGATGTTTTCTTTTCTTTATTTCTCTCTCTTTTTTTTTTTTTTCTGACAATAGAATTATGTTAATCCAGAAGTTCTGCTTTCTACCATCAGAAACAATTGTTTCAGATGCATCAAAATAACCTATCTAATACCAAGAGGTAGTATGATTATTTTTTTATTACACAATGTTACACTAAATAGTTTGAAAGGCAAGAAAGCACTGAGAGCTACATACTGATTTCTCTTCACCTTCTATCCCAGTATACAATGGTATGTATTATTTATCACCTCTTAAAAGAAATTCTTGGGAATTTTGTAGACTGGACTGTTCAGAATTACAGAAATATTGAGAAGGCACTTGTTCTCAATATAAAAATTCATTACTTTGTAGCTTGTTCAGCAAATAAAATAAATTATATCTAGAGTTGCACATGATCCAAAATTTCATTTTAAAAGTAAGTATTTTTATGTCACTAGCTAAAATTAAAAATTAAAAACAAAAAAAAAAAAAAAGAGAGAGAGAGAGATTAGAATGGGAAAAGGCTGTTTCTATTGGAAAATGTTTGTGTAAAAAATATTAATGGAAATGATGAAAACATACAAATACATGACTTGCATAAATCCGGAGTTATAAATAAATCTGCATCTCATATAAATAGAAGTTTTCAATGGGTAACTCCAAATGAAGTCTAGCTTCAAACAGCAGACTTCTGTGATTAATGCTGTATTATTTCTCACTGGCTATTTGTTTCCTCTGATTGATTCTTCTCTGCAAGAATGCCC